GGCCATTGGACTTGAGGTCATGATCCAGTGCTACTGACTTTGGTGGAGCCATCCCATCGGGCAACTCCTAGCCTCTAAGCGCATAAAGGCTTGTCCTGGCCTGCCTTGGCTAGGACGCTGCATAGGTTTCTTCCGCTGTAGAACTACTCCCTTGACAATAGGTCACCTTACAAGAATGAACCTTTCTTGCGTAGAGACATGCTACTAAGGTTCGACTCCAATCCCCTCGATGTCCCCCTTGTGGAGCCCTTTGACGATGGCATCATAATGGAAGGCATTCGCATCCCTTACTTCCTTCGGTCCATCTTAATGCACATCCTTCAATCTTACACTGTGTCTCGCAGTAGTGCTTTAAGGGAATCCCTTAGTCATGGCTTCTACTACTTGTATTCCACTCTCCAATCCATGGAAGAATTTCCTCATCAAGTTCTTAGTGAGGAGGTAGCACAGCAATGGTACAACCGCCTTTGCCTTGCCTGTAGCGTTGGTTTGGAGATCTATACCGTTTACCCCTTCATCTCAAGACCCAAACCTAGAACCAATTCCGATTGTCCAATTAGGACCATTTTGATCTTGAAACTTATCTCATGACAAATAAAAAATCCAATACCATAGGTACATAGAGCCCAAAAATCTAAATCTGACAACATCAATATCATCCAAATCAGACACTGTTTATCCCTTTATCTCAATACTTAAAAATAGAACTAATTATGATCGTTTGGTCGAGATCATTTTTTATCTTGAACCATATGCTCAAAATTCTGAGTCCAATGGTATTAAGATTATCTAATTCCAACACCATTAATCCCTCCATCTTGAGACCCGAAGCTAGACTTGATCTGGACCCTCCATTTGGAATCCTCTTCACTACAACTTCAAACCTATGGGTCATCACGACCATATTCTTCTCCCAGCCTCCAAAAGCATCTTAAAATTTAAAATTTAGCTAATTAAAGACCCTCTAATTAATCAAGCCAATCACCTAAACTTGGAATGTTCAATTTAGGTAAATTGGTGAAATTTTCCACTTATTGTCTTGATTGATTGAGAAAATTTCTCCCAAAGTTATCTTGATAGCCCTTTCCCTCAATCAATATCCTTCCAAAAATACTTTAGATCTCATCCATTGATCTTCCCAATCTTAAATCCCAACCCTCCAATCCCTTCTAGAATTCTCCCCAAAGCATTATAAATACCCCCCATTTCTCAGACACAATGACACATGTACTAGCCTAGACACATCTTAACCTAGGGACACATTCTAGCCCAGACATGACAAAAGAATGAAAATGTATATCTAAAGTGTGCTCAACAATTATTTGTAAAATAAAGAGCTTAAAAGTAATATTTTTTTATAATAATTTTATAAATGTCAATTTTATTATTTGTGCAATTTTTATGCTGAAATAATTAATAATTGAATGGAAGAAAGCAAATTCTATTAAACAAAATAAATACATCTCCTTTTACAATAGTGTCATTTATAAGGGTGTACATCGGTTGGATTGAGTTGGTTGCAAGCTATTCGGTCAATCGAAATAGATCAACAATGAATGAAAATTGAACCAAACATGAAGACTTGGTTTAGGTCGGTTTCTTGTTTTGATCGACTCGATTCAAAACAATCCCTAAACTAATGTTTGTTTCAACAAAACAACAACTTGATGATTGGTTTATGGTCTTTATAAGGAAGTGGAAACATCCCTCTAGGAACTTCCTAGTTCATATATTATACAATATATAAAACATATGCTTATATTAAAAAGTTATATACATGGCTATCATCAAGTCAGTTTATACACACTAAACTGAAAATCGATCCAAATTCTCAGGTTATCATAATTTAGGAACCAAAACTGATAGCATTACTTGAAAATCAACCAATTCGGGTTGAGTTGGGTCAGGTTGGTTGGTTTAGTCACTCTCATGAACAACCTTAGTGTTAGCACCCGATTTTTGCTAGGTCTTCCATTTGAACCCCCAATTCATCCTTTAACACCCGATCAAACATTTTTGATCTTTTTGAAATACCAAAAAACCCAAAGAACCTGAATTTCAATCCCAAAAAATCCAAAGAACCTGAATTTCAACCCCAAATCCTCAAAATCCACCGAAACATTTCTGATTTTTACTCGGCTCCCCGTTGCATCCACCTAATACCCTTAAAGTTCAAAACTACCCCTCATGCCAAATGACCAAAATTTCCTCAATTCCAAATAACCAAAACTTTTCATGCCAAAGGACCAAAATACCCTCCATACAAATCACCAATACCCTTTGCTCCCTAAATCTCCAACATAACACTAGTCGCCAAATTATGAACATCCCTCATTCCAAATTATCAAATTACCCTTTTGATCCTTGAAATCCCAACCTATCAAGATACCCCTCCAAATCCTAACTTACCAAAAATACTCCCCTTTAATTCTGAAAGTTTGCAAAAATCCCCTTCCTTTCCATTATAAATGGGAAGCACCATTCCCAAGGGAGAGGACCCGAATCGAACCGATGAGAGGGGCCTTTAAGGGTCTCTCGTTCTTTTTGAAGAGAAAGAGAGGAATCTCTCAAATTTGAGGCTAGTGTTGATAAAGAGCGGTAGGAGAAGAGAGGTCTGAAGGTTGGTCGAGAATGGATGAAGGGATAGAGAGTTTGAGAGATATTGCAGAATAAGAGAGCTCACTCTCTTCCTAACCATTGAAATATCCCTGCTCTCTCTTTGTCACTGTGGTTGTTAGCATACCATTGCCATCTAAGCTCTAGTTCGTTTCTATTCATTTTAGTCGAGTGTCTGAATCATTCCTGTACCAACCTAGGTCGATCGAAACCGCCAAAGAAGCATCTCTCAATCGTTCAAAGGCTACAAGAGGTAAATAGTTTATTCTTGATTTCATTTTTTAGTTGCTTCTTGTCTTGATAACCTATCCCTTTTTTTTTTTTAACTTATGATTTTGGGTGTGAGAATGGTGTGTTCTCCGACATTTGGGGTGGTTGTCTCGCTCTCTCAATTCTTTAGACCTACCAACTGAGTTCGAAGGTGGGGATTCTAATAGAAAAGGGGTGGGATTCTCACCCTTTTGCTCAGGCACCTGCATCCAAGAAGTGGTTGGTCTGAAAGAGGGCGAAGATGTGATCTCAACAACACCCTTCCAAGCTGCCAAAGAATATGGATTCTCAATTTGATGAGCTGCAAATTTTCATTGTTTTTAGAAGAAAATTAAATTAAAAACATTAGAGAAGAGAACTAGCTTTCACACTGACCGAAGAGAGGGGTGCCTAGACCCTTCCCCCTCTCTCTCAACTTACCTAGATTAGCCTTGTCATGGCTGAATGGTGTGGAGTCACTATTAATTCTAAATGTTTTACAAAATCCAATCTTGGGAGGCCCATCACTCCCAGTTATTTATTCTGATGGGTGGCGACTCCATTTGCTCAGCCGTGAAGTGAATAGCCAGTTTTTCACACTTAGTCATTAAGAAAAGAGGGGGGAGAGGACCAAATGTGTAGGTTAGGCAAGTTACAATTAAATTTATCTAAAAGATGAGCATTTGATTGTGCAAACTAGGCAAGTAGAACTGAATTGGGTTGGATTGGATTTGACTAATGAAAGCCAAATTCAAATCTAATCAAATTTTGAGATTTAGGATTGGATTTGAATCCTATTGGATTCAGATCGGATTCAAATTTAATCTAGATCTGCTTCATTTCTTTTAAATATAGAAAAATTTAAAAATAAAAGTTACTACCTTTTAACTTATACAAAAAAATTATTAAAAATTTGAAATATTAAATTTATCATATATATAAATTTAGGGAAAATTCCTTATCAATACCCTATACTTTAGGGGTTGTCTCAAGTCAGTCCTTAAACTTCAAAACTACCCTTTTGAAAGAAATCATTGTTTATTGTCTTCTACCTTGAGATTGAACCAAAACAAACATTGTTTTCATGCAAAACCACTCCTTGAACCAAACAACAAGTTCAATGGCAGTGATGGCCCTACAAACCTAAAATTCTACCCATTGAACCACTCTCTGAACTTAAATTCTTCCATTGATTGCCCCCTTAACACCTCTCTTATTGTCCTCATCCCCTGCATACACCGCGCCAAGTCCATTGGATTGAGGTGAAAGGGATGACATTCGATGCTGCTTCGATGTTGGTACCTGAGTTGGTGATACCAAAAACCTATATGTGGGAATGATTGAGTGGGGTTGGTGGCACAATGGAGACACTGTTGCGAGGGTTGTCATACATGAATTGACCCACATAATGTAGGTGGTGAGCGACAAGGATGTTCCATGATGAGAGGTAGGGACAAGGACCAATGTCGTTGAGTAGTAGAAACTACAGACTTTTGATGGCTCCATCGGAGAGTATTACCTCCCCTCTACTACATATCATGGCACGGTGGGTCTGCATAATTTTACCTTGATAAATGATGCCAATTTGCTTGGCTATAGAAACCGGTGTTAATGGCACTGCTCCCCCAAAGAACTCTGCCTCTTGCATTAGGCATGCTGCCTTGTGAAGTGAAAGTCTGAATAGGGGATTTGTGGGCGTCAACCTAGGTAAGCATGGACAAGAACCCTTATTGGGTCATGAGGTTTGGGGCTCCATAGCTATGCCTTCTTTTTAGTAACAAGACATTGTACCTTTCAGACAAGACGACCACCAAGGGGCAGTCAACGATGCCTCCCCTAACGATTATGTTGTTGTATTCAAGGTAGAAGAGAATGAATAGTGTCTTCTTTCGAGGGGTAGTTTTGATATTTTCAAACTAACTAATTGATTGTTAACGGTAGGGACCTATTAGATAGTTTTTGAAAATTCAGGTATTGTAGAGATACGTTTTGAAGTTTGAAGACTGAGGGCCTGTATGGAAAATCTTGTTGAGAAGATCTTCTTGTAGCTCTGGCAGTCAAAAGACGCATTGAGCTTTTGACATAAGATCTGGGCAGCCCGAAGACCGTTCGACAAACGCGCATCTTTCCGTGCATTGTTTCGGGTCTTTCCGTGCGAGATTAAAACGCAAAAGATGCGGCGTCTTGTCTTTTAGCGGCTAGATCTTCCCCGTGCCAAACGGGAATAGATCGATTTTCGGTCTTCTTGGCTTATAAATAGCCAAAAGACCGAGCAAAAAGATGTGCCAAATGGGCCCTAACTTAAGACAACTCTAAAGTATATGGTACTAATTAAGAATTTTCCCATAAATTTATACATAGTATAATACAAAATTATATTTTTGTATTTATATAATATATAAATATTAAATTAATATACAATAAAATAATTTGGATTCGAATTTTAATTGGATGGAATGAATGGGGTTAAATCGACATACGATTCAATTATTAATCAGGTGTAAGTAAACTCGAAACGGATGTAAGATGGGTTCCCCAACGAGTCGCATCCTGTGGACCATCGGTCACACGCGAGAAGGGTGTTCCTTTCGGCTCAGTTTGGAAGGAGTACAAATACAAATAGATAGAATGCAAAACCTCGTATTTTATATCATTTTGTATGTATTTCTAACGTATTTGCATTTGTACTCTTTCAAAATTGAGCCTTCCGATCAAACTAACGGGAACGTTCCCAAAATCGAAACCCCAAAAATACTCTCTTCTTCGAATCCCCTTCCTACTTTCTCTCTCTCTCTCTCCATCAAAAACCCTAACCACTCAACTGCATCATGTGACCAGATCATCGGAGACCGGCGGCAACAGGGAACCCAGCTGTAGGTATTTCTTCTTTGTCTCCTTTTCATCTTCTTCCCTGCAAACTGATTTTTATTTTGTTTTTAATGATTCCAGAACCGCAGTTGGCGGCACTTCACCTTATTAGGACCGGAATCTATAGAGGAGAGGTAAATTAGTGTTATAAGTTCTAACGTGTTCAAGAATGAATGCTGTGGTTATTTGTACTAGCATGAATTTTGTGGTTTTAGCAATATAGGAGAATAACAAGTAATAGAATCTATTTATACTGTTTGGAATTGAATGTCTGAAAATCACCTAGACTTCTGGTTTTTCATCCTTTAACTGCTGGAAATCAATGTAACATGAGAAGATAATTTGAGGCAAATGCAATTGAAACTATCGTTAAATCAAATTAGTTATTCAGTTGGATAGGTCCAGAAATATGTATAAGCAATTGCATTCTAGTTATGATGGTAAGGCTACATTTTGGTCCTCTAGTCTCCGGTTTGGTTTGAGGAGAATGTCTGACATTAGTGTTATTTTCAGCTCTCATTTCATTGCATAGATAATTTCAGCAATATCATCGTAAGAGTAAATACATGAAAAAAAAATCATTGTAGACTCTAATTCATTGCAGACATTTTTTTGTTGCTTCGGAGGTTGAGGGCGGGGGAGTACTAATTTGCATTGCTTTGTAGGTAGGAAAACCAGTCCAATGAAGGTAAGTTTGCAAAAATTTTCAATGGGTGGCTCCCATAAGTAATTCAGATGAAGATACTTCAACAAGGAACATTCAGGAAAATCTTGAAAAATGTGTTGAAAAGTTGGAGAAATTAGTAGCTGAGTGGAGTAGACAAATGGACTATGTGAGGTTTTCCCGGAAGTTACTTGTTTAAGGRATGAAGACCATAAGGGTCTTAACCATTGCATTCATGGTTGTGTTTTTTGTATTATATATACATAAGAGTTAGTATATTTAGGTGCTATTTTGTGAACCTTGTAATTACTAAGAAGGATAGTGAATCAGTACTTAGGTACTATTTTGATCAAGGTTGGTGAATTCTTTGTAAACCTTTTAAATTAGTATTTAGGTGCTATTTTGATTAAGGATAGTGAAACTTAGGATTTATGTTTTTATTCTTGGAAGCAATGTCATTAAAATCGTACGATTTGTGATTCAAATCATATGATTCATATCKAATCGTYCATAAAATGATAYGAGTCGTACATACAAATTGTTTTTTTGAAAAAAATTGTACGGCTTATGTATGAATCGTAGATTTGAATCGCAAATTGCGATTTATACGATAATTTAAAGAGTGGCTTAAAATTGAGAAGACTGTTATAGGCCTCAATTTTTTAAACTTTCATTTATATGGGGAGGGGCA